CTAGGGCACAACCCCGTGTCCCCTGCATCGGCAGGCGGACTCTCAACCACTGCGCCACCAGGGAAGCCCACATGTTCTATCTTTTGATATGGTCCACAGGTCCCTGAGGCTCTGTTCATTTTTTTTTTCCAATCTTTTTTTCCCTCTCTTCAAATTTGATCATTTCTGTTGATCTACCTTCAAGTATAGAGACTCTTTCCTATCATCTCTCTTCCGCTTTTAATCTCATCCATGAAATTTATTTCAGATATTGTATTTTTCAGTTTGAAAATTTCCATTTGGTTCTTTTCATATTTTCTATTTCTCTGCTGAAATTTCCTACCTTTTTATTCATTACAAGTATATTTTACTTTAACTCAACAAGCACAGTTATAATAGCTGCATTAAAGTCCTTGTCTGATCATTTCAACATATGGCTCATCTCAAGGTTGGCCTCTGTTGTCTTTTCCCTCCAGAATGGGTCACGTTTTCCATGTTCTTCACATGTTGAATAATTTTGACTGTATCCTATACATCGTGAATGTTACGTTTTGAAGACTCTAGATTCTGTTATATCCCTCTGTGGCAAGCAGAATAATGGCCCTCTCAAAGATGACAGCATCCAAACTTCTGGAACCTGTGAATATGTTATATTACACAGCAAAAGGGAATTAAGGCTGCAGATGGAATTACAGTTGCAAACTGGATGACCTTAAAATAGGAAGATTATACTGGATTATCCAGGTGGGCCCAATGTATCACAGGGGTCCTTAATAGTGAAAGAGGGTAGCAGAAAGAAAAGCCAGTCAAAGTGATCAATACAAGAAGGATTCAACCCAATGTTTCTGGCTTTGCAAATGTAGGAAGGGGAACATGAGTCAAGGAACACGGGCATTTATACAGAAGGTGGAAAATGCAAGGAAACAGAATCTCCCATAGAGCCTCCAGAAGGAACGCAGTCCTGTCAACACTTTTATTTTAGCTCAGTGAAACCCATTTCAGGCTTCTGACCCAGAATCGTAAAAGAATAAATTTGTGTTTTTCTAAGCCCCTAAATCTGTGGAAATTTCCTACAGCAGGTACAAGGAACTAAGGCATCCTCCAAAAATGTTCATGTTTTCATTTTAGCAAGCAGTTAAATTGGTTGGACCCAAACTACAAACTCTCTCTCTCACATGAGGTAGACGGCAGCTCAGATCTCAGTTCAATTCTCTCTCTCTTTTTTTTTTTTTGCTTTCCTCAACTGAACAGTTCATGCATTCATGCTTCAATGACCAGCCAGAGACTTGGGCAGAGTCAACACTAGAATTCAGGCTCTCTTCTTTACAGTATTCCCTCCTGACTTTCTGAGACAGAAACTAAGTAAATGGCATCACCCAAGTGTTCATGCCAAAAAGTTGGGAGAGTTCCCTCTCCTGTGCCCTTCACATCTAATCAATCATGAAGTCCACTTCCAAAATATATCTGCATCTATCCCTTTCCATCTCTTCATTCATGCCTAAAACACCAACTTCTCTCATCAGGATTACAGCAGGGTTGACTCATCCAGTAGACACAGCAGGCACAATGCCTGGGCCCCACCATACTTTAAGGGGCCCACAAAAACATTTTAGTTTATTTTTAAATTATAAGAAAAAAATAGGAACTTCCCTGGTGGGCCAGTGGTTAAGACTACATGCTCCCAATGTAGGGGACCCGGGTTCGATCCCTGGTCGGGGAACTAGATCCCGCATGCTGCAACTAAAAAAAATTTTTAAAAAAAGATGCCGCACACAGCAATGAAGATTCCGCATGTTGCAACTAAGACCCGGCGCAGCTGAAAAAATATAATAATAAAAATAAATAAATAAATATTTTTTAAAAAAGAAAAAAGAAATGTTTAGGTCAAAGAAAATGTATAATATTAATATATTGGTCTTTATACCAGGACAATCATAAAATATAATTTTTAATACTGTTTTTTGGAGAAAAGGGCCTATGAAGGCAAAAGTACCTAAAGTCCATGAAAAGTCATTATGAGGTCCTGGCAGCAAAAACCTTTTAACTGGTCTTTCTCTTCCATGAGTGCATGTGTATAATCCACTCTCCATTCACTAAACTGAGTAATCTTGTTGTCCTTGCTTAAAGTATGACTTCTATACAGTAAGGTGCACAACCCTTAAGTGTACTACCTGACGTACATAAATATACACTTATGTAACCACCACCCACATCAAAATACTAAATAATCCTTTTCCAAATTTTATTCAAGTCATGACATTCCCTTGCATAAAATCTTTCCATGCTTTCCCAATCCACTTGGAATAAAATCCAAACTCCTAAACCTAGTTCACAAAGCCTCACATGATCCAACCCCTACCTATTTCTCAAACCTCATCTTGTACGACTCTCCCCCCTCCCTCACCAAACTCCACCTACCAGCTTTTAAATTCCTCCACTTGCCAACATGTTCCTGCCCTAGAGCATTTGATCTGGTAGTGCACCCTCTACCTTCTGCTAAAGCTCTTCACGGGTCTGGCTCCTTGTAATTCAGATCTCAGTTTACATGTCACTTCCTCAGAGGACTTCCCTGACCATGCAATCTAAAATTGCACAAAATCACTTTTATTAAGTCACCTTAATTACCTGCAGAGTGCTTATCATTTCTAATGTTTTATTTATTCACTGCTTATTGTCTCACTGAACTGTAACATCCTTTGGAGCAGTTTTGTTCTCCGTTGTACCCAAAACGCCAACAACAGTGCCTGACACATGGTAAGCGCTCAATGAAAATTTTCATTGAATTAACTACTATCTATGATAAAAATATAGCATTAGCTAGAGGAACCATGGATAGCATTCGGCTGTGAAATCCTAAGGGCCTGAGTTTGACTTAATTTAGTCAGTAAAATGAAGGCTTAAAAGAGGTAAAAGCCCGTGGCAAGTAAGTGTTCAACATTTGTTACTTATTCCTTCTAAACATGCCCAATTAAAACCATCCTTAAGCAGAATACTGGGTTTGTTTTGCTTTAACAAAAAGCGATTTACAAAGAAACTCAAAATCTTCCCTTTCAGGAAACCAATTGTGGCACGCCCATTCTGGGTTCCAGCCAGCTGCCATTCGGTGCCAGAGAGGTGGAACCTGCAAGAGCAGCCCCGCCCCTTCCGCAGCGGCCGGAAGTCTGAGGATCAGGAGACCCCGCCCCGGGCTCAGACCCTGCCCCTCGTCCGCGCGTAGCCCTACGTAAAGCGTGTGGGGTTTCGCGACAGCCCAGGCCCCACCCCTTTGGCCACATGTCGCGCAGGTCTTCCCGTCGGACGCCGCGCCACCTCCTCGCGCTGCTTTACGAACCGAAGAGCAGCGCCGCCCCGCCTCCTGTGTCCCTCCTCGCCTCCCCGCCCCCTCCCAGTTTTGCGTCTCCTAGCCCGACGCGCTCGCTATAATCACGTGACTGCCTCATCCGGGTCTTTTGCGTTCTCTCTCCCTCTCCCAACATGGCGGCCTCAGGTGAGTGAGCGGCCGAGCGCGGCCAAGGACCGGGGTCCGAAGCGACTCTCCGACCCTGATCCATTGGTTCTCTGGAGTCGGGGGGTGGGCGGCACCTATTCCCTTCGGATTTTGGGGCTGCGGCAGGCTGGCGGCTAGGCCATGTGAGGTTATCGCCTCGGGATGTTTGGGGGGAGGGGAAGGACACCTTCCCCTCCCCCCTCACACCCTTTTCACCCCGTGTGTGCGAGGTTGGACTTGAAAGCAATGGTGGACTCTGGCTTGACTTGGAGTGAGGAGGAGGCGCAGAAAGAGCCGCGGGAGACCTGAGGCCTTCGCATAGACGTGAAGCACTGTGCCCGCGTGAAGGCGTGGTGGAGGGAAAGAGGCGGTTGGC